TATATATATAGATATATATATATATATATATATATGAATGAATGATGCATGTGACTGTTTAAGGACCTTAAGATGCACAATTCAGATCAGTATATCAGGACAAAGGACACCATTTATTTCCAGTTGGGGGTTTGGGGGTTTAACAGTCATGGAATGTGACCATGCAATGCTATCAAAAACTAGTAAAACAGGAAGCAGCCGCTTATTGATCCTTTATGGAACAATAAACTATATGACAGGTTTCATGTCATCAGCTCTTTTTTTCTTTCTACCACAGGGATCAAGATCTGAAGAACCTGGAGATACAGAGGATAACAGAGAACGCAGAGGCTCAGATCAAGATATCCGCCCTGGAGCTAGTACAATGACAGCCATGACGTTAAAACTCTCTCACAGCAGAACAGATTAATCTGATGAGGTTTCAGTATCACACGTCTTTGTGCCTCTTACCTCGGGCAGATCTTTGGACATAAAGGGCTGCAGTCGAGACAGGAAGTGGTCAGTGAATGCAGTCCTGAGGACTTAGTGTCACCGAAGGCCCTGCTAGAAGGTATTTCCTCATGCTAATATAGTAAATAGAGTAATAGAGTAAAGGCCAAAAATGTATCGTAATTAATAGAACACAAAAGCTCCTAGATATACAAGCTCGATTTTACATGTTGTTGTGTTCCAAAATGTGTCAGAGTTCAAAACACAGAGAAAGTGTAGCATTTACACTAGAAGGGGCTCTATGGCGTATTAGCATTAGCATCTGCTGTAAAGGCGGTGCAGTAGTTTGAAACTAAAATAAATTGAAACTGTTGACCTGTGTATAGCTAGCTACCTGAATACAGTTTAAAAGCACAGCCGTTTTTAGGTGACTCTATCGCTCCCTTGTGTACTGGAGAAATGTTTCTGCCAAAGTAACTGAAGAAGGCACATTTTGTACAACAGGAATGTATTAGCTAAGCGTTCATGTGTATCTTCCTACTTGGTTTTTATGTTTTGGCTCCAGAAAGCAGAAGGCGAGCAGAAACACTTGAGAAGGAGAGAGACCAAGCCTTACAAAAACTGCATGATTTTGAACCTCCCCAGCAGGTACTGACTGACGTTTGTTTGCACATGTGTGTTTATTCCTTGATATTTAGCTTCTTTAAAGGGAATTTTGTTCCATAGGGTAAAAGAGAAAGAATCTCCACCAGAGTCTAAAAAACAGAAACCTGCTGGTTCAGACCTTGTAGATCCTAACCAACAGAGGAGGCTGGTCACCGAGCAGGTGCTACACAGTGTGCATAGTAAAACTCCTAAACACTTCAGCAGAAAAAGTGTAATACTATTTAATTCCTGTCCTTGTTTGTTTGTGTCTCCCTTCTGTGCTATAGCTGAAAAGTCTGCTCAGAGAGAGAGAGCAGCGTGGAGAAAGGTCAGTAGAGCAGCATAAAGTCTCTGTCAGTTCCCAAGGCGGATTTATTTCCACTCCTTCTTATATAAAAATGAGACAGTGGGGAAATTCCAGACTCAGAGACTCCATCACACTCCCCTCCCCCTCCTCTGTGGAGAAATCAGTAAGTGAGCTGATGAAATGGATGGTCAGACACACTGAATAAGCACATTATTAATCAAGATCAGTATAGGTTTGTCTGACTGCTTTTATTGATTATTCCTCATATCAAATTAAAGCAAATTCCTCAACCAAAGGTTTTTGAAGTCAAAAAGGAAAGGAAAAGACTTCCTTAAGTTTTAACTGGGAGTTTAACTGAGAACCAGCAGTTATGGTTCAGAAAACACAAAATAAATATTTGAAAGAAAAGTTACACTTACAAAATCCTTTTGTGACACCAATATTATTTATTTATTTACGTACCTACTTATTTGAACTGGGAAACAGCAGTTCTGGTATAGAAAAAAAAAAATTTATTTGCTTTTTATTTAATTATTTTTTTTGTTATTTATCTTTAGTTGTTTCGTTTATTTAACTTTTTTTTTAGTTATTTATTTATTTTTTTAGTTGTTTAGTTTTAGTATCATTTAGATTCTATGATAGTTTTTATTCATATTTTGAATTAGTTTATATTCTTATATTTTCCATTTCCATTTTAATTTAAATTTTTAGTTTTAATAATTTTGTTGTGTTTTTGTCATTTTATCAGTTTTTTTCATAAATGTGTCTATATAGTTTTTTTTTTTCAGTTTTAGTTATTTTAGTACATCAATTTAAACTAAATGAAAAATGTTTCCTCTGCAATTAGCTGAAATATTTGTTTAAATAGATATGTTGTTGTAAGTCAGTTAACGTTTACATTATTTCAAGTAACAAATGTAATTGTTACTGGTTTTTTTTTTTTCATATTTTGAATTAGTTTATATTCTTATATTTTCCATTTCCATTTTAATTTAAATTTTTAGTTTTAATAATTTTGTTGTGTTTTTGTCATTTTATCAGTTTTTTTCATAAATGTGTCTATATAGTTTTTTTTTTTCAGTTTTAGTTATTTTAGTACATCAATTTAAACTAAATGAAAAATGTTTCCTCTGCAATTAGCTGAAATATTTGTTTAAATAGATATGTTGTTGTAAGTCAGTTAACGTTTACATTATTTCAAGTAACAAATGTAATTGTTACTGGTTTTTTTTTTTTTTTTTATAGTTTTATTTTTAGTTAACTACAGTAACCCTGCTCCTAACTCTTACTCAGTAGATCTACATGAATCCTGGCTCAGGAAGAGGAGTGGGGTTGGGAACGCTGGAATTTTCCCAGTGTCATAATTCACATGGTGGGCATTAAAACGCACCTTGGAGAGAAGGCCATAAATCAAATTTTATTGACATTTGACAAAAAAAATGTTTACGTATGTGATATGTGTACTACTAAGGTCTCCAGTGTTTCCAAGAAGATCTGGCTTGGTCAAAAACGGGGTCCAAAATGCTACAAGTATTAAGGTCTCTAAATCTCTTATATTTACATCATTGTGAAGTGGTGAATACTTTTCTGGCCTTTTAATACAGAAATTAATAATAGGTGTGTGACACATTTAGAACTGGAATGCTGTTGACACATTAAACCATCAGGGAAGAAAAACACAGAAACTGGAGCAAGAACTCCAGCAGGGGGCAACAAAGAGGTCTTCATCCCAGATCTCAGTCTCTCAGTGGGGATCAAAGAGGTCGGAGGAGGAGAAACATCCAACCAACCTGAAGAACCACAGCAAGACAAGCCAGGTAGGTTATGATGATGATTATGGTAAAAACCTACATACAAAACATGCCCTACCAGCAGGGTTTGGAGGGTTACTTTTAAAATGTATTCCGTTACAGTTACAAATTACTTCATTAAAAAAGTATTCAGTAACGTAATCCAAGTACCACAATATAAAAGTAATGGAATCGGATTACTTTTGGATTACTTCAAGTTACATATGTAAATAAGTCATATGTAATAGTAAGTAATAGTTAAGCCTACAACGTTTTGTTGATATTGTGAGTGCACACAAATAAAAGTAGACCCTTTACAGTTCCGAATGATGTATTACTCTTACATTTATGAGGAAAAATGACGGCGTATCCACTGAAAAATCGTGCTGGTGGAAACACGAGACCGTGCTACCGCGACTGTCAAGAGTGGCTCGACGGTGTTTATTGTCCCGCCAGCAGCAGCAGCAGCAGCAGAACGAGCGTGCCGTCAGTGCAGCTGAAGAAATCTGCGTTCAAATGCACACATTTGCTACCGCTTGGACGTTACTTTAAAAAACAAAAACGTATATTTAACGAACAAAAAATGCTCCAAACGTTTTTTCTAAATTAACAATAAAAAAACAAAACGAAATATAATCACTTCGCCATTACATACAAAACTGAACTGTTTTAATAGCTGGAACAGTAGTATAAGCTGTTTTTTAGAGAGAAGTGCATCTTTACGGATTATGATTATGATTATAATGAAAGAGTTTTTGTTTTTGATTTGTTTTATTTCATTAAGTAGTAATTTAAAGTTTTCTATAGATATATTTATCTGTGAGGCATCTATTTGCTGAGTTTCGGTTCATTTTTGTAAAGCACATTTATCTAGGTTTAACGTTTAAACATTGTTATATGCTTGAACTGTTTTATATCTATAGATTTTATTTTGGGCAAGTCGTGATGATTTGAGAAGGCTAACATAGGCTATCAGCTAACTGTCTGCCGTTGGCCGCTTGGACGTTACTTTAAAAAACAAAAACGTATATTTAACGAACAAAATAGGGTTGGAGCAAAGCTGTGCAGAGCTGTGGCCCTCCAGGAATTGAGTTTGAGACCACTGCGTTACAGTTACATCAAAAAACAAAGTATTCAGATTACAGTTACTAGATTTTTGTATCCTTATTACGTAATGCCGTTACATGTATTCCGTTACTCCCCAACCCTGCCTACCAGTCATATTTTAATAAGATACTTAATGGATACTTAATGGAATTGTAATTTTGTAATTTTGTTTCTAGCATAGTTTAAGACTAATTCATAATCATATGACTAAAATCTGTGATATCTTAAGAGAGGGAACTTTCACAAACAAAATAACTCTATGCATAAGCACATCAGGTCTTAGACTCTAATTGGAGTGTCCTGATCTCACATTTTGCTGGGATGAAGGGGCACATAAGCAGCTTTTAGGGTTGCAGGAGGGCATCTGTGGAGATGTGGTCAGAAGCAGGGATAAAACACACCAGAAACCATGGATTGAATTAAATTTCTAATGTTGTGTAGTTTTTTTTTTTTATCCTTACAGCACTTAGAATAGAACTACAATGGGATAAACAGCTTTAGTGCTGGTGCGATATTATTAAAATCAGTGAACCCTATCTAATATGTGGTGAATAATTTTTTTTGTTTTTTTAAACATTGAAATGTCCCACACTTACTTCCCTCGCAGATGTCAGCAGTGAGAGATGCAATGGAAAACCTAAAAGAGAAATGAAAATCTGCCTGAAGGTGAAAAGTGTGAAGTCCAATCATATATAGAATTCAGGGGCCAATTTGTTCAACTTTTGGAAATTTGTTGTGGGGCTGGGGCCCTACTATTTTAGTTTCTCAGAATGCTAGCAGTCATTTATTGTGGTGTAATTGTGTTTCTTTTCTGTCTTGCTGGTCCAGCCAAAGTAATACTCCTCAACCAAACGTACAACAGGACAAATTTCCCCTGGGCTACAATGATGGAACATTCCTTGCGAGGCAGGTTGAGGTTTGTGACTCAGATTTGGAAGACACGAAAGGGTTCATTTGAGGAGGAGAGGGGAGCCAACTTCTGGAGTGATGATAATCCATTGTGAAAATCCATACTGCACTGACAACTTTACTAAATGCACCTTAATTACCATTTATTATGAATTATACAGTACAGCTAAGCTATTAAAATTTAAACAAATTTTCATAAGCATGTTGCCAATTTTTCAGTGTTGTGTTTAGCCTTCAAGTGCATGAAAAAACTGAGGTAAATTTAAAATTAGATCCGAAAAACCAACATGATGTCATAAATACTAACTTTTTATTGTCTTGAATGCCATACAGGTTATTTTCCAAAGAGTTTTAGATATTTGATTTAACTGATACATACATTTGTACTGAGATTATACAACAGTAACATAACAATATTATTTAGTTCTAGATATTATTTAAAGATGTTAATTTCTAAAACAGTCAAAAATGTCTTCTAACATAGGATACAGAATGCCAGTATAATAAAGCAAGTTTCAAAATCAATGTTCTAAAGCAGCGGTTCTTAATACTGTTCCTCGCTTCCCCTGCTCTACACATGCTCTGAATCTCTCTCTCTGTCTCTCATTTATAGCTCAGCTCCAACAACAAACTGTTCCATCCCAATCACAACACACTGGGCTAGCTAACCAATCAGAGCCCATCGCCTATTTCTAAGGGAGGGGCTTCATAAAAACAGGAAAAGATGAGCCCGTTTTCTCAGAGAAGGGACAGAGCGGTGTGGAATAAAGGTAAATTATGTGAAAAATAATGCGTTTTTTTTTTTTAAACAAAGCATTAACACGTGTTAGACTGCACCCATAAACACAATCAAGCCTAGAAAAAACCCAGTGAATCTGTCCATGGTTGGGTCAGATTTGAGGTCATGTCAACTTTTAATTTTGCACTTATGGTTGAATAACATGATGTTGCACAGTTTCTGCTTGACTCTTGCTACACAGTGAATCTATCCCTCTTCATTGGCCTCCAAACCAAGTAGGTGCATATCTGCCAAAAGAAAAGGATGAAATATTCAATAAAATATGCATTATAAAGAAAAAAAAATCACCCAACCATTATGGCCACATTAGTCTATTAAAAACATGTCCATGATCCGTATAATATTATTTAGAAAGGTTATTTCATCATTCTCTATACTTAAATATCAAAACCAGTATTAATATGCAGTCGTACAACAAATGTTACACCATATGATTTCGTATGCGTTATCTGTGGAGATAAATGCTATACAAGTAAATGACCTTATGGCCGTGGCCTCCCATTGCTGAGGTTTGAGCAGGTCTGAAATGAAAGGGATCGGACTGCTGCCTGAAGGATTGAAGAGGGAGGGGATTAAACTACAATGTCATTAAAATAGGCTGATCTCCTGTGGATCTTGGCTCTAAGACAAGCGTTTAATCCCGAACATTAAAAGCAAACATTTAGACTTAGTTTATGATGGATAAATCCTCTTGCTTTTACATAACAGTCTACTATATTGCCTCTTGGTTTTACATAACAGTCCACTATATCTGGGGTTTGCAGACTTTAGTATCAATCCCATTTTAACTCCCAGTTGTTATTTGCAAGTAGTTCTCAACACTTTGAATAACTTATTTGGGTGTGTTTGGTTAGGGTTAGAGCTAAACTCTGGCCCTCCAGGGTTGGAGGTGATGAGCCCTGTTTTAGGGTTCAAAATGGTGCTTTTGAGTGCTCCCAATCCCTCTTTTCAGAGGTCCGCTGTTCTGGACTTCAGAGTGGTCAACATGATCTATAAACTTGTATAGCTAACAGTCCAACTGATATTAGGTCAATGGTACCATTTGGGAGAGGGTGAGAACAGTGTGTTATAATGTCACCTGGAGTCTGGTTGGTAAGATTGTCTGCTTTCAGAATGAGGACTTTAAGCCAACAGACCACATTCTGGTACTGCAACAAGATGAAGAGCTGACCGAAGACCTCATGATCTCTCTCGCATGTTGAATAATATATGAGCCACTCTTGTCCTTTGAAAGACAACACGAGGTGTAGGTATTTCGGATGTCTGGGATGATGTTTAAGACAGTCTAGTTTCACAGCAAGAGCTATGAAGTGTCCTTTTTGGACTTGTCCACAACTTGCCTTAGTTCTATAACGCAGCTAACAGGCCTGTCTGGTGTCCAGTCCAGACTACTGCAGCAAACTTCCAGCTCCTCAAATAGGGATGTCTTTGGATTATCCTGCATGAAGATGTTCAATCTGAGCATGCAACTCTTAAGCCCCTCTAGAGATCCGACATTGATCACCAATTTCTTTTTATAGAGTCCAGAGCTAAGGTTGTAATCTTGAGCGGATATATCCAGAGGTTCAGGGCAAAGTGGGGGCAGCCTGGCCTGGACAGTCACTTCTTCTAGACGATGGACTACGCCGGTTAAACCCACTAACGATACAGTGAGTGTGTTCTGTGTTGAAGAGAAGGTCAGGGTAAAGTGCAAGAAAGGATCTGAGGTCTCACTGCGAGAATTTGAACCATAGTTAGGAAATAAAGTTTCGTCCTGTAGTAGACCTTGGGTTTGAAGTGGAGAAAGGGCACAGGGTGATCGAGGGTTGGGAATAGTGAGCCTTCTGTGTTCGCTAAATGAGTAACTATCTCCAGCCACAGTGCAGTGCCGTTCCAAAACCTTCCGGGTATTTGAGAGAAGACTAAATCTTGGGAGAGAGGAGCGGCCACTGGCCATGGGCTTGTATAAAGAAGAGGTTGGAGAACTGAGTCGTCTCATTTGGAAGCATGACTTGTTAACCTCAGAGACAGCAGTCAACTCTTCATCTGATGGTGTAGAGCTCTCGAAAGCAGATGGATAGTCTTGAACCACTCCTTCCAGCTCCTCGTACTGTAATTTGGTAATTGTGGTTCTAGATAAAAGGGCAGGACTCAAAGCCACAGTCACGTTACCCACAGAATCAGGAGGAGGGGGTGTCCTCACAGTATTTTTGTCTTTGAGTGGTTTGTGTCTGGTCTTTAACCAACAAATGATGCATCCCAGGATAAGGGAAAAACACAGGACCACCAAGCCCACACTCAGCAGAATCTGCAGGTGGACTGAAGAGACAGAGGAGGGTTAGAACAGCATTTTAATCCGTAGCTTTCATTCCAAATGTCGGAACAACTGATAAGTTGTAATCCGCAAACAAAGGAAACGATTTAATCCGCATAAAGTCAGTGATCAGTAACACAACAGTAAAAACCAGACGTGAACCTAACCAAACGTGTACTTAAATCTGAAATCGAAATAATGGTTGGTTCTCAGACTGAATGGACAACTTGTCTACTACTTGCCTGACAAACACATTCCAAGTGTGCTTGTAGGTTACGTCTACTATACCTTCATGTTGCTTTGTGAAGAGCACCTGCAACAGCAGCCAGAGAAACAAGAGGATGATGATTCCCTCGATCATTCCCTTACAGCCAAACAGTAGGATGGACTGCCACACAGGTTGTGCAGAGTTCTCCTCCTCTTCCTCAGTAGGCATGATGACCAAGGAACACCACAGCTCTCACTTCATCTTCACCTTCTGAAATAACATCATGCATTTCCAAAGAGGTAACTTCAGAACGGTAAACTCCACTAGTCGAAGCAGGATCTCTCATCTGTATGCATCTCCAGGGCTGAACAGCTAAAGTGCACTGCTTTCTTTTAAATGTTAGCTAGAAGTCACAACTGATTTTGTCGAGTCTTTCTTTTGTCAAAATGCTTTAAGATGAACCTCAACCAATTTCCCAAGGCAAAACAGCAAGACCAGCTGTATAATACCATCCATCAAATTGTCTGAAGAATTTTTCTATATAATTAAAATCCAAATTGTCATTCAGTCTAAAACAAATCCCATTGATTCTCCTCTTGTGGTCTTTCCTCCCCTACATCTGCCTTTTGGTTATATCCAGAGTATTAATCCTCTCCACTGACTCCCTTGGTGAGAGACTAAGATGAGTTTAGAGGGTGGTCCGGCTCAGGACGGGGGTGGGACACGCCAGGGATGGCGAGAAGAGACGGTATACTGGTGATGGGTCAAGGGCAACTATGCCATGTGTCCCACACTGTGCCTATTAAAAGGGCATCAACAGAACAATCCCATCCCCCTCCATACACAAAACAGCATCTGTCACATCCACTGCGAGTTCTGCACGCAATCAAAATCTCTAGTCTTAATGTGAATTGCTATTTTAAGCAGATACAGAAGTAAATATGCATGCATTTCATTATTACATGCACTTCTACTCATCAATCTCATCAAAGACTTTTAATAAGGATTATGAAAGCAGATCTACAAAATCAGATTCAATTAGATTGAGGTGTGGACATAACCGTTTGATTTCGAAAGTAAAAGATAGATGTACTGCCTCTTGGTGTTTTAAGACGTTCAATTCTATTCAAGTTTATTTGTATAGCGCTTTTCACGATACAAATCATTGCAAAGCAGCTTTACAGAAAATTAAGGTGACATGAACTGCATCTTTCCTTAAAATTGATTTCAAAGTGCTTCATGTTTGTATCACAAAGATACTATTATGGTTTTTATTAATATTTTGAAGTAGTTATTTTTATTTGAAATTTTTTTTTTATATGTCAGTTTTTAAATTAGTTATTTTCGTAATTTAAGTAGCTAAATGATGAGAAATGTTTCTGAGGCAACTATATATATATATTATTATTATTTTTTTTTTTTCAATATCAAATTTCCAGTTTCAGTTTTTGTTGACTAGAATAAAACATGGTGGCCATGGTGTCACATTTCAAGCCCCCCCAAAATAAAAAAATTTAAATAAAATATTTTATATAAATTTATATTGAAAAATGTTTTATTTTATTTATTAATAGTTTTATTAATTATATTTGTTTGTATATTTTATATATTAACAATTTATAACTAAAAATTGGGGTAAATGGCATTTACAATTATATAAACAAAAATAAAACAAATGACCATGATGAAGGAAAGCAATGAACTTTACAGTTAAGCAAAAAATAATCATATTTTACACACAGAGATAAGACAAAACACCACAAAAGAAAAACTTGCATCAGATCAGACTTTAATTTCATTGTGTAAAGTTGCATGTGTCCATACAGTGAGGTCATCAAAGAGGATAACAAACACATGGTCTTTGGTTTTCAGCTATGCCGATATCTGAAGAATATAGAAATTAAAACCGAAGAAACTAAAAGTGTCTGTATCCCAGCAGGTCCCAGGGTCAAGCAAATGCAGGATTTCTAAACAGCTAAAATGTAAAGCTAATTGTTGACGAGGCTAAATCAGCATGAGTACGTGAACATAACCAGCCAACAAGCCTTGATTGTTACTGGAAGTGTATTGGAAGTACTGGAAGACAGTTTTTGCGATAATCAATACTTCATGGATATGAGATACTGCATTTAACTCTTCAAACAATAATCTCATCTCGCACTGCCGTATTAACGTAGTTCTGCCTTTCACTGAGGTATTTTGCTAATTCATTACCTGAGAGATATTTTTTGCATTAAAAGACAGCAGTACTTCTGAGGTAATTCAGTGATGTACTGCAGGCATTGAACTACATCCGAGGTAAAACCTGAGTGAGGTAGATATTTCAGTCCCACACCGTCCGAGTTATATCTAGTGTCATTCGTTTCAGGAGCGAGACTGCGTCGAGGTTCTGAAGTAAAAGTTTTATGAAGGAAAAAAAAAATACAATTCCTGAGAAACTCGCTTTCCAATATGGAAAGATACGTGAGGTCTGAAGTTCAACAACTAAAAATACAAAATAAAAAAAACATCCAATCTTCCTTTGATTTGAATGTTATCCTGCTTTTCCGTGACCTGGTTTGTTTTAAAGAACTCGAATGCGCAGCAGAGTAGAAGAATAGTACATTAATCAAGGCCCTTATATTTACGAGCCTGTAAATGATCGTCCAACGCACTGAAATGACTGACATGTGCGACACAAACAGTGTGTCCACATAATTTCCTTTCAACCATACATTGTCTTGTGTCTGAGGTAGAGAAAAATCTTTCAACCAAACTGTTGCCTGTAAATGTCTAAATAAGAACAAAAAACCAAAACCTCTCCGCTGTGTAAAATGCAGTTTCAAACTCAAAACTCTTTTCAAATCATATTAATATTTCTGTATCTAGAAGCTAAAAAACAACGGAAATAGAAAACAATAAAATCAAGTAAATAATTTTTAAAAAAGGAAAAAAGAATATCTGTGACCCCTTTTCTTACCAAACCAACTTTGCAACACTTGATGGGGATTGTAGCATTTTTTAAAAATCCATCAAATTAGACAGAGCAACACAGCAGTATCATAATCGATCCTGAGTCTTTTAAATTCACTGCAGATGAGGTAAATTCAGCAAACTTTAAATAAGAGAATTAATAGACAGCAAAAAAGAGAAAAAGTGTCAACCACAACCTCACAAATGTGACTTTGGCAGAAGTAGATTTGATCATGCCATGATTGCTTCGCAGATCTCTGTGAGTGAATGACTGTGGGTGCGGAAAGGCATGATTACACGATCACCGACCGAAGTGTTTCCACTCACGATAGCACTGAGATTAAGACAGCTGAGGTATTCTGTTGAATCAAACATCTTTAAAAACCTTCTCAGTCCTGAGAAAACATCTTGTAGAAAAGAGAAGGTGGGGTCCGTGATGAGCTTTAACAGCTGATGAGTTTGTAAAAGTGTATGTGTGTGGTCCTCTCTTCACTGGAAGGAGAAAACACAGCTGTGGCTTGTGCGGGAGGCAGACTGGGATTTGCTATGTCGCCTCTAGAGGGCAGAACGGCTCCCGCCGCTCGGAGGAAAGACTGTAGTTTGGGTTGGACTGACTGGCTGTTTTGTACGTGGAGCTGGTGACCGTTAGGGTGACCCTCCTGTGGCCGGTTCCACAGAGTCAGAGCCCTTTGAGGAGGAAGAGGAGAAGGAAGAGGGGATACGGGGACTGAGGGTGGAGGTCTGGCCTGCGAACATGGCTGTGACAGCGGTGGGAACAGCTCCAGACTTCTGAGCATATAAGGATCCTGTAAACAGTATTAAAAAATGCATTCAGTAATTTACTTCACACCAAAATATTTCTGTATTATACACTATTGTTCAAAAGTTTGGAGTCAGTCATTCTGTTTTATTTTGAGAAATTTATAAATTTAATGCAAGCTTGCTGAATAAAAGTATTAAAATGACTATACATAATGTTACAACAACTTTTTTAGAACATCAAAAGAATCCTGAATTTTTTTTTATCATGTTTCCACAAAATTGGAAACAAAATTCCAAAAAATATTAAGCCGTACATGTTTTGAACATAAATATCAAATGTTTTCAGCAGCAAATGAGCATTTCTGAAGGATCACGTGACACTAAAGACTTTTTTGCCATCACAAGAATAAATGACATTTTTAAATATATTAACATGGAAAACAGATATTTCAAAATAATATCCCACACTATTACATTTTTTCCTGTATTTTGGTCAAATAATGAGAATTGAAGCCCAAGATTTCTTTCAAAAACATTTTTACAAAATCTCGCCGATATTTTGAACTGTTGGGGAAAAAAAAGGCAATAATTATCTTATTGCAATCTATCATAGAGCAAACAATATTCATAGTGTGCAATGCCAAGTTAAATAGCTAGATTAGAAAACTAGAGCAGAAATTAAACAGGAAAACCCTAAAATTTAGGACAGCCTTTCACTTAAATCCCAAAAGGTAAAATGTTCCATTTTATTGGATTGCTTCAAATTTCAAGTGTATAATGAGCCACATAAAGCTCTTTTATTAGTATTTGTATTTATTAGTATTATTATTACAGTATTACAATATAATACTTTTATGATCTGGAATACTTGTAGGCTTATTGGATGTGTGTTCTGGGATGATCTCAAATACTCTGGGTTATCAAAAAAAAACAAAAAACAAGTATGAACTAATGAATTATATAAATAAATTAAAATAAACTGAGTTTACCAGTGTTGAAATATTTCACTTGTTAACAGAGTATTGCTTGCATACAATTCAAGTAACATTTTAAGATTGATTTTTTTTCTAGGAATAAAAAGGATTTAAGGATTTTTTTTAATAAACCCGACAGGTTTTAGGGACTGTTGCAGAGGCAACTGGAAAAGGGGTCTTGGAGTAACCTGAGGTTAAGTACATTAAGGGGAAGTCATGGCCTAATGGTTAGAGAGTCGGACTCGTAACGAGCAAGGCACCGAACCCCCAACTGCTCCCTGGGCGCCGCAGCATAAATGGCTGCCCACTGCTCCGGGTGTGTTCACGGTGTGTGTGTGTTCACTGCTGTGTGTGTGCACTTTGGATGGGTTAAATGCAGAGCACTAATTCCAAGTATGGGTCACCAAACTTGGCCACATGCCACATGTCACGTCACTTTAGAAAACATTGGACAATCCCACACGTGCACGAATACAATAATACACACCTGAGTAAATAATCCCATTGACCTCCACAGACACATTAATGCTAGCAGAGCCATTAGAAGAGATGCTGAGAGACAGGTCCTGTTTGTCCTCTGAAAACAAGATCCAAACGTCAATCACTCACTGTAGTCACTGTACATGTCTTGAATAAAAACGTCACAGAACTCACCGCGGGTGTTGGTGTTGTTCATCCGCAGGTTGGCGGGGTTCACCTGGGATGCCATGGCCAGCAGGTTTTGTTGGAAAGCCTGCTGCAGTAGCCTCTGCTGCTCCTCCGCCAGACGTGCCATCTTCCTCTCGGGCCCCTCCAGCGTGCCGGTCTCCAGCCTCTCCCTCAGCTGCTCCAGGGTGGCGGCCCGTGCCAGCTGCTGCTGATGCCCGAGAGCCAGTGCTAGGGGGAGTCGACCCGGCAACATGGAGGCTGGACCGTCCTCTGGGACTGAGGAGAACAACAAAATGCTTGAAATCTTGAACTTAATCTGTTACTATATCACATGCATAATGTTATTCATGACAGTACAATCCCTCACATATTCTGTTGCTTCACAACAACTTGAAACATATTGTACTTCCATATTTAAATGTATTTAAACAGGTTATTTAATGGGTCTGGGTAGGGAGTGTAGGGATGTGATTTATCCGCTCATGAAAAGTAGGCATTTCAATGCCACAGTTCCTGCTCACTTTTATAGTGGCCTTTAATATTTTTTAGAAGTATTTTTCTCATAGAAATTTAAAAAGTCTTCTTTAATGAGTTATAAGCCATGAATCAAACCAACCAGCTAACAAGGTAAATATCAACATTACAAACTGATTTGAAGCAAAATGTATTTGAAAATTGAACAAAAAGGCAAAAGGTACAAGACTGACTTAATGGCTTTAGTGAGGGAAAGAACTACAATCCCATGAAGCACTGCAAATGACAATCAAATAAAAAAAATTATGTAGAAATATAGAACTACTGATTCAAAGTTGTTAGTAGATAGACAGATTTCTTGTTTCGATTCTCTGATTGGAGATTTCACTTCAGAATCATGGGTAATGTAGTTTTTCCACCAGGAATTCAACTAAAATAATAAAGGCTGATACCTTCAACAGAAGCATTTATCATCGATAAACAACTTTGTTGCTCTCATTAGGTCTGTCTTTAAAGGTTAAGTTATTGTTAAAAAATCAGTTCCCTATGGGGAAAATAACTCCGATTTTTACTTCTGGAACACTATTTAGTCTATTGAGGCAGACCTGAATGCTAGTATGCCAAAATGGGTTAGTATGCCAAGCAAGATATTTTGACATAAACATAGTTCCCTGTATTACACATCAGGATAAGCGATTCATTTACTTCGGCCCCTGAGGTTTGTCGCTGTCAGTAGACCCTCACAGGAAAATGCAGTTTTTTAATGGCCTTTACACTCTGAGTTTCCTCCATCAGTCCAGGAAACTTGCTCCATTTCCTACACACACTTCCTGTCTTTAATGAAATGTATTTATTTCAACAGCAAAACCAATTAAATGTAAACTTCACTGTATGGCTAAAATATTTTTAGTAAGTATGTTTACATATGCCAGAGGAATTTTTTTAGCAAATATTTAGAAAATACTAAATAAGATGTAAATAAATGTTAGATGTAAATAAACATACGCACGTTCTTAAGACGTAAAACGCACATAAACACAAGCATTACAGCACTGCACATGTGCACAACATTTTTTTAAATACAACTGATCTGCTAAATTAATAAATGTAAAAAGTCAGATTCAAGCGTTTACATGCTAATTTTTTTCCTATTGACCAGAGCTGAACCCCAATTCGATCGCATTGTTAAATACATTATGATAATTATATATAAAAATGACACATCATGTAAATATACATTTATTTACTCACACATACATGTGTATATAAAACAAACAATTATAAATATATAAATTTATCATTTAAATTATATGTAATTTGTCATGTAAATATATATATATATCTACACACACACACACACACACACACACACACACACACACACACACGTGTATTGTATAATTAAAGTCCCCCTGTAGTGAAAATCAAGTTTTTTATGTTGTTTATTTGTCTATATGGTGTTTTTAATATGCTTTTAGACAAACCATGTGCCAATCTATTAATTAACACCATTGCTGAGTATTTTCTCCTTAAAACTGTAGTTTCCCAAAGGCTGACCCAGAAATATGGTTTGAAACAGCCCTTGGTTTTCTACGTCACAAACCAATAACCAATGTAAAAGTAGCCCGGAGTCAGACCCACCTCTCCCGCAGCCGCGTCTGCACTTCACACGCGTATGTATGCTCGCGGGCGCAAATTAACAATCACAAACGGTTGCATTCGAGTCTTCAAGGCATTTTAGGACACAACATCATCAAGTAACTTACTTTAACGAATGTTACAGTATTCACTGTAGTTGTCCGCTAGTAAAAACATTGTTTTATCAGTCACTATCCGTGTATGCCATTGTTTTGTGTTTACTACAGTTCAGTGGATCAGGAGGCGCTGGCTGGTGTGACTGAGTGGAGGCGGGACTAATTTGCATATTCATAGACCAGCGTATAGTAAATGAGGCAAGGGTGTAGAGTTACATTCAAGCTATTTTAAGGCATGAGAAAATTATTTTCAGAA